AAACCCCAAAACCCCAAAACCCCAAAACCCCAAAACCCCATTGGTTAATTTTGACTAGACAATTTTATTGTAAAAATTAGTAAAGTATTTATTTCATAAAATGAAGCACGAGTGGGATTACGTTTCAGGAGGCAAGACCAGCGTTAAAATACACAATGCACCAGGTAATATTGATTGCAATCTTAAATAAATTTAGGTGGGAATAGTCAATGGAGTATAGGCTGGGATTATTCTCAAGATAAGGTTTAGAATAATCTCCAAGGAAATAAAAATAACAGCAATAACTAAAATTACTAGTCTTCTTACCAAAGAATGAATAATAACGAGAATTAATATGGAGGTGCTTAATAAAACAATACATATAATAACTATGCAGCAGGTGCACCAAGAGGCTAAGAAAATCCTTTAATGATGCAGTAAATGAATCAGTAATAAGCAGCTGTTCCGAGAATGCAAGATGACAGATCATCAGTAAAAATTCATAACCCTCCAGGAGGAAGAAGTAACTTTTAGATCGGAGGATATGGAGGGAATGAGGATTTGTCTTTCAAATAGCCTGCTGTATAAAACATCCAACCAAACAACTAATACTAGAGTTTCCAGTAGGAGTTTGGACAAATCTTACCTCAATACTAACCTAAAACAGAAATTTTTGGAAATAACATATATAACGCCCCTTAATAAATGGCTTCAAACTCTGGCAATATGTATTCAGGAAATCCGAAACCAATTAACTAAAATTAAAATGATTATAGATAGGGTATATCATCAGGGTAGTATTAGAGAAGCTCCGATTTAATAGGAGGAGGTGGTAGCGGTGGCAGTACACCCAATTTCGATCCCTATAACCCTTCTAGATAAAGTTATCAGCAGAAGCCTATATAACAATAAATTCCACCTAATCAAATGCCTCTCTTTGGACAAAGAGTAATCTCAGGTAATAATTGTGGACCGACTACCGAAAAGTCTTCAGTCAAATTACATGCTCCTCCAGGGGGTAAAACGAGCATCTAATTATTCTGAAAACAAATAGAGCATACTGCAAATGAATTCGTTGTATTTTATAACTTATCGTTTTCCTTCATTGAACTTTTTTAACTCATGGGGTTTTGGGGTTTTGGGG